AACGAATTACGTTACTTTTTAAATCTGGGCTGGGCTTGCTTGTTTGCTTTTAATATAAAAAGTTCTATTTTTGGCAAATGTAAAAGCCCTTTCACACCAAAAGCCTCAGGCTGAAGGAAATGTAAATTCACGTCTGTACAGTAGAACGCAGAAGAAGAAAGTTCAACACTCTTCAGCAATTAAAAAAGAAGAAATGTTGGCTTACCTTGTGTAATTTTTGCTTGTTAGTATGGTTGAATTGGATCATCGAAGGTCAGCAGCAAATTTGTTAATAAAATGGGATTAAAAACAAAGTATATTTGTATTATTTAACATATTTAATTATTGCAGCTTTGCGTCATATTCTGAGTTGCTTTTAACTGTTTTTATTCATTTTGAGGAAAACTAAATCTGACTTTATTTATTTCTTTTTTTTGTGAGTGAGATGAATTAAAGCATGTTCACATATATTCTAGAACTAAAGTAACATCTTACTCCCGATTTCTCTCAACAAGAGGACAGGAGAGATTCCATCAATAAATGGGAAAAAAAAAGTAACTAAAATAATTACTACTAATTGCATAAAAAGTAACTCCGATATTTTCTTGTAAATTAAAAAGTAATGCGTTACTTTACTAGATACTTGAAAAAAGTAATCTGATTACGTAACTCGCGTTACTTGTAATGCGTTACCCCCAACACTGTTGGCAATTAGTAGTAATTATTTTAGCTGTCAGTAATAAATATTCAAGTAGTAAACTTTAAATTAAAAGTTTAAGTGAAACATTATAATGATAATGTGTTAAATACTATTTAATAAAATATATTAATCATCTAATGCAACCCTGTACATTGCGAGTAAATCACTCGCATTTGCGACTAAATCTTCACTCTGGGCGACTAAATGATGACTAATATTAGCCAATGGCTAATAAATTCTCAGATTTTACTCGCCAGTGTGTGAGTTGGAGGCTAAGTATAAGTTTAGCTCAGATATATTTTCACTCGCCGAACACTGACTGAGCGCTTCAGAGTTTCACTTAATGTCAAGCGATCTGTGCTATTGTTCAGTTCATATCAATGGATATCAATGGATGCGCAACTCTGGAAGTAAAATAATGACAAATGTCCTTGAAACAAAAAAGCACGTTGAATTGCACTAACTGAAAAAATAATGCATTGCATCAACAGTGCTTGCATTTTAATGCCTTTTATTTTCAGGGCTTGCATTTTTAGGGGCTAAAATCCAACATAGTTGTATATTTCAGCTGTGAATATTATAATTGAAGACATTTCACAGACATTTTAATGATTCAAAATTCAATCATTCATATTCACCTTCTAGAGTTCACTTCAGAAATATTCAATCTGTTTAAAAATACGATGTATAATATTCGACAGGCAGTTTTCTGTCCATTTTATTTCACTTTACAAATTCGCTTCCACATTCAGTGGTTCAAATTTACCAAATGGTTTGCCAAAAAGTCGGCGTTGCACATCCGGGAGCTGCAGGAATAGCAGTAGAGCACCGATGCATGATCTCCAGCTGCTGTCAGTCGCTCACCAGCAGGTGGCGCAAGCGGCTGTTGATGAAGACCAAAGCAATCGGTAGCGCAAGTCATTCATTCATTCATAAAAACTGATTTGAAGGAATGGAGCAAGCGGTAAGTAGAAGTTATGATAATCAGGGCCAGTATATATATATATGCGGAAAAGCTGATTGCGTTTACGTTTGTGCTTAGTTTCCTTAACTTTGCATGGCTTGTGTGACCTGGGGATCCCCTCATATGTCACACTCCAGGATTCCCCAACGACGAGTAATGCGCTTCAATTAACTAATACAGTGATATCAAAAGACCAAACTCGGTATACACCTTACTGATGATGCAAACTATATACAGTTATGTAGAATATGAACGTAACGTGCAAGGTTTCACGCTGTTTCCGGCATATGTTAAAGAAATGCTGTAGTATATCAGTCTGGCGAGTAAACTAAAAAATGTACTAGCCAATTGTGATTCAACTGCCAAGGTGTCCGTAGAGGGTTGTAATGTCTTCAATCACATATGTTACTGAAATAATGTTATATAGTTTTACACAATTTATATATGGTGGATGAGGAGACCTCGCACAGCGTCTGGAGCCGTCAATCTCATCTCTAGGTAGGAAAGCAAAAATTGCTTTATTGTTTTTGTAATTTGGTGAATCTCACATAAACCATGTCTGGGTCATATTTCACCAAAAAAATAAATAAATAAAAATAAAATAATATATATATATATATATTTATTTATATAATAATTTATATAAATGATATATGAATATAAACATACATGTAAATATTTTCAAAATATATACTGAATGTGTAATGAATTATTATTATTATTATTATTAAGATATTTTTGATGAGTTCTGAGAGCTTTCTGACCCACCCATAGACAGCAACGCAACTGAAATGTTCCCAAGTCCAGAAACGTAGCAAGGAGATCGTTAAAATAGTCCATGTGACATCAGTGGTTCAACCGTAATTTTACGAAGCTACGAGAATACTTTTT